TTGGCCTGCTAAAAATACTATTCTGTATCTGCTACTCAACAAAGAGATTTATGATGCTGCTGTGTACAATGACATTGTGCTCAGTGTAAGACAAAAATAAAACAGAAACTGCCCTTAGGGAGCTTCCTGCCTAATGGGAAGGTGTAGAGATTACTTTGTGGGTGAGATTGTGCAAGATGACCTTTTTATAATCAAGCAAGAATGATAGCAACACTAAGCCCTGGGGAAGAAAAAGAATTCCACAGCTTATTTCTTATATTTCAAGTCTCTATGCCTCCTGTGAAGAAATTCACCTGTTTGGCTGAGATCTTTCTCTCTCTGCCAGTGTACACACAGTTGTACAAAATTACTTGAGCAGATTAGCTCTTGTGGATTGGACCAGAGAGCCAGTGATTTGACAGGCAATAAAGTCTGGGGGAGTGTGATAGATGTGCTTGGTGTCCCTTACCTTGTGCACGAACTTACTTCAGAGCTAGTTCATCTGCCTGCCCCAGCTTTGAGACTTGTTCTTGGCATATTGATCAGACTGGCCTTGGGAACTCCTCTGTCCTAGCCTCCTGAGTAGCTGTGAAAAATGAATAAGTCACAGGGTAAAAAAAGTCATCACTGAGTTTTGTCAATTTAAAATAGGTCTTGGAAGCAGTCTTGCCACCCAAACTGTTGAATAACGAACTATCCCCAGTCCATCACACTGCCTCTACAGGCTACAGCTTTTTAAAAAATACTTTGATTTCTTTCTCACTCATTAAGCTAAGTGTACGCTTTTCTCATTTTGCCTAATTTTTCATTTTCCTCTTCGTTCAACATAATGCCTGTTTTTAATAACTTGCCAAGCTGGACTCATCACCTTCTCAAATATAAATATTTAAAAGGTTTAGTTTCTTTGGAGTTTCTTATCTGCGTGCTACTATTTGTACATCATGTATGTTATTTGTGCATCAGTGCCCACAGAGACTAGAAGAGGACATTGCATCTCCAGAAACTGGAGTTATATAAACAGTTGCAAGCTTCATGTGGGTGCTGAGATTTAAACCTGGGTCCTCTGGAACAAGACGCAGTGTTCTTAACCACTGAGCCATATTTCTAGTCCCTCAGATATGATTCTATGATCATTTTATGACCTAGAAAAATTCCTTTCCTTTGGTTCATTAAACTTTCTCTGTTCTTGAAGATAAAGTGTAAATGTGCCTCTCAGGGAAAGATTTCCCTCTACTCCAAACAAGATTATCCCTCATAAGTCTAGTTCTTTATTCTACTTGCTTATTAAATAAGTGGCAGCCCAAAGAAGAATCATTCTTAAACTAATTAACAATGACAGAAAAAAAAAAAAAAGGAAGAAGAATCATTTTCAGAGAGCAGTTTGTCCAGGAATACACAGGTCTCCTCAGGCAGTGAACAAAATGAGATTTGAGCCCAGGTCTGGCTCTGCAACCACACACCCTGTGGAGAAGGTTCAAGAAATGAATACTGCCTTGGACATAAAACTTTCAGACCCTGATGAGAACCAGCATTTCCAGGTGGTAGCATTGAACAACTCCCTGAAGATTTCTGAGTCCACAGCTGTAGAATAACAATATGGCAGCTTTCTGCTTTAAATGATATGTTCTATAATGGAGGGTTTCCCCACACACCCTGTCTCTCATTGTCACAAAAAATGGCACCAGAAATTGTTACCAGCTGGTAGTATAGAAGCCATTTGGGATTCTGTATGAAAGCTTTTAACCAAGATGGCAGAATTATACCATTGTTTCTATTTGAAATGTTCTGCAAGTTTCTTTTTCTTTTTCTTTTTTTTTTTTTTTTTAATTAAAAGGGCTTTTAGCTTGTACCTTGTCATAGTACATGGGTTATAGCCATGTCATAGTTGTTGTTATCTATGTTTCTGGACTGCTGAATATTTTCCTAAAGGTAGTCAATACCTGCCTCTCAGTGTATTTCCCAGTGACAGCAGGGTCGTTAATGAACATGCTGTAAAACCATAGTTTCCTCTAGTTAGCCTCAAACTGGTTCCAGTATCATCTTGCAGACAGAAGCCACCTTAGAAAGGTGCCCTTCTGGCACTTCAGAAACAAAGTTCCTGTGGCTAAGATCATAGTGGATATGCTCTAGACTATGTGTCTCAACAAGATAAAATAGTCTATGCTTTGTTCTCACCAGATGAATGAAAAAAAATGAGAACATGATGCTCCAAGGAATGATTGAGGAGAAGATGTATTGTAGATATGAGAGAGAGCCCAGACAGAGGCATCTGGAAGGGTCCAGACTAAACTGGGCTATGAAGAGGAGAAAATGGGGAGAGCAAGAGAGGAAGAGGAAAGAAGACAGAGAGGGACCGGAAGCCAAGAGGCCGGGAGAGAGCCAGGAGTCCAAGAGCACCAAAGAGAACATGTAGCCAAAATGGCTAGGTTTTATAGGAAAAGAGAAGCTGGGGAAAGGGAAGCAAAGTCAGGTGCTGGAAAGGTTTGGGTAGGAGGTGAGATATGCCAATCTCTGTGACTCTGTAGCAGGTGCTTGTGAGTAGGGAGAGACTGGTGGCCAGGGTCCGCTTTGATGTGTTCAATAGTCACCTCAGCCCGTTTTTCCCGGGTTTCTTTGAGACCTAACACATTATACTATCTATCATAGGACTTGTGTGGTGCAGAATTTCTACTTAGACCTTCTGCTCTGCAAAGTGAGACAACTCCCACTCCATCCATCCAGAAGCCAGTCAGACAACTCCCTGGAGATGTCTAAGGATAGCATACTGTCCACACTTTACCTGTTGCTTCTTCTCTTGAGTGCAGACCATGCTAACAGCTACTGTTGGACCCTGTGCACATACTCTAATGTTAGAGCCCTGTTACTTTGATGGACATTTAGACTGTGACAGCGGGTACTTAGGGGAAAATGACAAATCAAGAAGAGGCATAAGGAACAGACTTGTTGGAAAAGGGGGGGCCACCAAACAATTGCCCTTATTTACATATGCCATCAGTATGCCACATTTCACTGTGGTAGTAGGCAGTAGGCTCCTGGCTTTTCCCAGGAAAGAGGTGATTTTTTTAAAAAAAGAATTATTTATTATTTTTATGTTTATGTATTTGTGGTGTCATGAATTTTTTGTGCCATATGTGAACAAGTGCCCACAGGGGCCAGAGGACATCAGAGCCCCTTGAACTAGAGTTACGGTAACTGAAAGTACTACAAAAGTGGGATTTTTTTTTTTTTTTAATTTTTAAAATCTGTTAAACTGAGGCTAGAGCTAGAGAAAGAACTGATTTTTGAGACACTTTACTGCAAAACTTGTTCTCATGTGGAAGAAATGATTTTTTTGTGCCTCCAAACGATCTCAGACTTGGCAGGGCTCTTTTAAAACAGAAAGCACCTAGTATCTTTGAAGACCTGATGGATCTCTTTAGGTCTGTCTTGCAGCCAGTTCTTCATGCCTGCTTCCCACCTCTCTTTGTTACTGGGGACTGAAACTGGGCTCTTAGGCATTAGTTCGTCTCATTCGGATAGCATGCAATAAACACATTTTTAGAGAAGGTAGTTGGGTTTAAATCCTGCCTCTCCCATCCATGCTGAGCACACATTGTATCATTAAGCTGTTTCCCGGCCCCTTAAACACTAGTCTTGTTTATCCTTTTTCACTTAGATTGGTTTAACTTCAACTTGGTTGAAAACTAACTGAAGGAGAAAATTCAGTATACTGATTTGGCATTGATAACTGGATGTTAAACTTTTTTCCTGGTCCTGGAGATAGAAATCAGCCTTGGGCCTAGTAGGTGTGCACTCACTGCTAACCCATTCCCCCAGCTCTAAACTTTTTAAAGCAAGGACAGTGGTAAGTAGGACAGTAACGGTTTCCAATTAATGCCACCTTATTTTGGTTTCTGTGCTTGAAACTTTGGGAAGGGGATAGTGAAAAAATTCATGAGTTTTCTGAAAGGAAGCTTTTAAAATTTTTGCCAGACATGGTAATGCATATTTAGTCCCAGTACTCAGGAGGCAGAGGTAGGAGGAATTTAAGGTCTGCTATGAGACATTGTCTTAAAAAAGAAAAAGAAGCCGGGCGGTGGTGGCACACGCCTTTCATCCCAGCACTCGGGAGGCAGAGGCAGGCGGATCTCTGTGAGTTCGAGGCCAGCCTGGGCTACCAAGTGAGTTCCAGGAGAGGTGCAAAGCTACACAGAGAAACCCTGTCTCGAAAAACCAGAAAAAAAAAAAAAAAGAAAAAGAAAATATTCAACATCAAAAAGAGCCTCATGCCTAATACGGCAACCACAAAATAAAAAATTTTAAAAAGTGGTAGTGATCACAATAGAGTTCTCATATTCCCTTTTTTCTTTTTTTTTCCTGGTTTTTTGAGACAGGCTTTCTCTGTGTAGCCCTTGGCTGCCCTGGAACATTCATAGTCATAAGTGAAATTAACCTGTATGATTCTTTTGCTTTTTATTACCATGTTTGGTTTTTAATACCTTTTTATAGTGCTGGAATTTGAACACAGGGCCTTGTACATGCGAGGCAGGTGCTCTGCCATTGAGCCACATCTGCAGCTGTTGGGGTGGTTGTTTTGGGAGGGCGGAGGCACAACACGGTCTCACTGTCTAGCCAGGCTGGCCTTCACTTACTGTATAATCCAGGCTTATCTTTTAACTGAAGCCAACTATCTCCGCCTCTGGGTTAAAGGCTTTTACCACCATGCCTGGCTTAGAAAAAATTGTAAGTAGCCTTTTAATTAGCTATGGAACAGTTTCAATACCATTAGTATTTTGTGCTTCTTAAAGGTCTAATGATAGATTCATTTGGGAATCTAAATGGTATCCTAGCTTTTCAGAAAATAGTTCATAGTGATTTTCCTAATTTCAATCAGCCTGTTTTCTCTTTTGGAACCAGTTTTGGCAATTGATGTTTTACTATATTACTCATTTTTATTGAAGTTTTCAAATGTATTTGATGTATTGAAGAACATACTCTTAATTTTATCTAACTTTTGTTCATTTCTTTGTTCTTTTGTGCAGGGACAGGAAAGACAGTCGTCATTATGATTAGCTACCCAAAAGGACGAGAAATTTTTGAGCTGGTGCAAAAAGGAATTCCAGTAAAAATGAGCATAGCAATTGGTACCCGTCATATGCAAGAATTCATCAGTGGTCAGTCTGTGGTGTTTGTGGCCATTGCTTTCATCACGATGATGATTATCTCATTAGCATGGCTAATATTCTATTATATACAGCGTTTCCTATATACTGGCTCACAGTTTGGAAGTCAGGTAGTTATGGATAACTATTCATTTTAATTTATGCAGTTTGGTTCATTTTAAATGATAGCTCATAAATACATTCTATGTACTACTTGAAGTTACATTTAATCGCACTAATTTCAGTTTGCTTATTTGAGTATTCCTCACTTTGATGAATTTTTTAATTGGAATGTATTTTTAAGTCTAGGTTACTTTTTGTACATTTGGTTCCTGCAGGTACCTGTACCCTCTTTGTCTTCTTGTAGACAGAGGATTAGCAGAAGGGCATGTGACAGAAAGAGCATATATAACCCTGTTCTCTAGCTTGGCATAAGGTTGAGGAGCAAAGAGGAATGGCCTGCTCTGTCTGCACTATAGTAGCTGATAAGCTATTTATCTGAAGGCAAGCCCTTTCTTGAACAGAGAGAAGAGCCAGAGGCTTCCAGTGGCATACTCAGTCCTAATGCACAATAGACTTCCTGGTCTGATAACTAGGCAGGGCTCTTCTCTTAGGGACTATTGATGGAGAGTGAATTGGTACCTTCTTCCTGGGCTTCATTATTTTCTTGCCAATGTTTAAGTGTAAGAATTGTTTTCTGGAAGTTGAAAGTGTGGCCAAACGTCAGCACATGTTTAGAGTGCTAGGAGTTTCTGAGTTCCATTCCAACATCACAAAAGTGGCGGGGGGGGGGGGGGGGGTGTGCAGGGGTGTTCTTTCTCAGATACAGAATTCAAAGCAACTATTGCTGGGCTAGGGATACAGCCCTGTGGTGTAGGGTACTTGTTTAGCATGTGTGAGGCCCTCGACTTCATTGCAAATAAGCAAGTAAGTAAGTAAACAGATATATTCTTAGCTGGGCATGGTAGCTCATGCCTATAACCTTGGTATTTGGGAAGCTGAGGCAGAGGGTGCTGTGATCTTAAGGCCAATCAGGACTTGAAAGAAAGAAAGAGAGAGAGAGAGAGAAAAAAAGCTTACCAAGTAGCTTATAAGTTATATGGTTCTTTTATATATCAAAAGTTTTTTCTAAGTTATTTTCATAGTAATCATTTAACTTTGTTTTGCTAATGAAAACTTTTCTGTTTTGTTTACATTGTATTTTACGGGTTATTTTTTAAAGACTATTTTAATAATACTGTTTTTCTCCCCAAGAATCATAGAAAGGAAACTAAGAAAGTTATTGGCCAGCTTCCACTACATACTGTAAAGCATGGAGAGAAGGTAATACTTGGATTGTGCTTTGTTTGGGGTCCAGACAGGAGGATGTTTGTGTCTTTGGGAAGTCTTTTCTCTCCAGTCTACTGTTGAGCAGTAACAAGCGTGTGAGCTTTGTTAAGCCTTCATATGTCTGTTCCAATAGTTTAAAGAAAGGCTGGCAGAGATGGAATGAATGAAGAGGCCCTTTAGAGCGGTCGTCAGTCACATGGCTGTTTAAAGGAATTACTATTACCGTCCAGGTCTGTGTCTCAATAGTAAAGTCCTGAATTGACCCCAGCACCCCACCTCCCAAAAAGGTTAAATGAATTACACTGAATTTAAAAGATAGTTCCTACATTGTATGTACTCAGTGACAACAATGTGTCAATATTCCTGTCACTGAAAGTTCCATTGGGCCAAAGTAAATGACGATAAAGATGCTGTGAATTCTAAGACTATGTGCACATTCTCTCAAAGCCCCTCAGTTACAGGGAGAATACTGAACATTTGTAGAGGAGAGAGAAAGCATATTTTTTAAACTATACTTTTAAAAGGGAACCTTTCTGACATACTCAGAGATTGAAAGCATTTAGGGAACAGTGCAAACAAAACCTTACTCCAGAGGCACTGACTCCTCAAGGATACACCCTTAGAAGGGAACTTTGCTAATGTGTAACATTTGATCTTGTAGTGGGCCATCCTCTGCAGTGACATGTTGCCTTATAGCTGTGGGCTGAAGCAGTCGCTTGGATGCTGATTTTATCTTATTAAGCTTTGAGACTCAATCTGTTTCACCTTCCATTCCTCCCTTCCCTTCACGAAAGGAAGACTATAAGAAACTACTTACATCTCTTCCTCTGCCCTACTTAGAGGACTTTTCTTAAAAGACATTAAATTATAGACCTTTTGAGTTTTAAAAATTGAAATCTGTTATCAATGGCTTCTGTGGTATAGTTAGGATTAAGATATGCTCAGGATTGTATGGGTGGGTCATTCCTTCCCCCAATAACTTTTACACTGTAGTATAGTGGAATTTTACTAGTTGGTGCAAAGTACTGATTTCTTATCCCGCAAATCACCAGGAGAGTTTCCATTTAATAATTAGCCATACAGAGTATGTGTAGAGTTTTTCATGGATATTAATAGGAAATTCTTCTGATTTATAAATTAGATGCTAATCTAGGTTGTGAGAATTGATTTCTAAAAATTTATTCTTCAATTCCTTTTCAGGAAGGAAATCAGGACTTTGTACAAACTTAAAATTCTATTGTACCTGCTGCATGTTTTTTTTTTCCCCTCCTTAGCAATAAATCTCATTGCTTACATGTGAGAAGACAGATTCACATGTATAAGTTACTGAACCAAGCCCTTGAGAATACAAGTAAATTGATACTATTTTCTTCCTATACCAGCATTTGTTAAAGTATGATACTAGGAACTTGTTTTAAAATTGTCATAATAATTTTTTAAAAGGTCTCTAAATGGTTTGTGAAGTGTGTACCTGGATATGGAATTTTTACATTGTGAACTTACACAGGAAAATGAATTTTTGCGGTCTGCATCTTATCCATTTCTGGAGACAAGTGATTATATTTTTAATTTTTCTTTTCTTGTGGATTTATTTACAATAATGTATAAGCTTGTAAATTATTAAGGAATTTTAAAATGGTTTCCTGCACAACATGAAATATAAGTGAAATTATTTTGTTACAACGTAGAATTTAAGGGGCTGGAGAGATGGCTCAGTGGTCTAGAGAGTTAACTTGTCTTGCCGAGAACCTGGCTTTGGTTTCCAGCACCCATGTCAGCCCATAACTACCTGTAACTGCAGTTCCAGGGCATCCAGTGCTTTTGGCCTCTGAAGCTTCATACATACATGGTGTGATCTAGTGCTTCTGGCCTCTGAGGCTTTATGCATGCACATGGTGTACATTAACTCATACAAGGACACTACTTATATAAAAATAGTAAGAAAATCTTTTTATAAAATATCACAACATAAAATTTAAAAATGCTGTTAAAGTTCATTTTAATAGTCTTTGATAATGGTATGTACATACTAAATCAGGTTTTTACTGCTTCCTTGTTAATTGCTACACCTGGCTAAGGGTGTGTTTAAATAACAACTCAAGGATAGTGTGGCTGTGTTTCATAATGTGAAGCTGCCAAAATTGCAGCCTCAGAAGCAAATACTGCTTGAGTTCCTGAATCCCTGCCTCAGAATCTCAGCTTTTCCTGGCTACACTGACCCCAACTAACTCACAGAAAGAGTCCATGGCCTATAGACTCTTGATGGAGAAATGTTGCCAACTCTCCCAACCTACAGCCAACAATTTGGTTTTTATACATTTATTCATTTGTTAGGCAAAAGTGGCGACTTGTTCTAATGGAGGGGTTAACACTAATGAAGTAAAATTTCAGATATGTAGCCATTTGTACTTTCTCCAAGTTGTAACTGTTTTAAGAGAGATCCAGATTTCTTTTAAATAATTCTAGAAGATAAATAGTGTCTTTGAATATTTAAGTATTATACTTGAAAATATTTTGTTTAACCATAATAGCAAGCCTGACTGGAGTGCAGCTAACTTCGTAGAGTGTTTCCTGGCATTGATGAAGTCCTGAGTTTGATCTCCAGCCCCATATAAACTTGGCCTGGTGGTTCACTACTATAAGCCATACTTTTGGAAGATGAAGGCAGGGGCATCAGAAAATCAAGGTCACTATTGGCTATACAGTGAACCTGAGGCCAGCCTGAAAACAAGAGACCTTGTCTCAAAAAATGTGTGTGTGTGTGATTTGCATTTCTATAGCCCTCAATAGTCTGTATTTCTTCAAACACTAACATACTATTTAAAACACTGCTTATGTTTGACTAGGCAGACAATGAATTTTTTTTTCTTTTCATTTAGATTCTTTATATAACTGCTTGATATAGTGGTAAGAAGTAAATGCCAAGTATGATTATCTGTGTTTTTAGATCAGGTTGTTCCAGCATAGAGTAGAATCCATTGTTTTAGTCAATTTTCGTTTTTTTCTAACTTATTATTATATGTGTAATGTGTGTGTGTAACTCTTAACTCTCTTTGCAGGGAATTGATATTGATGCTGAGAATTGTGCAGTGTGTATTGAAAACTTTAAAGTAAAGGATGTTATCAGAATCCTGCCATGCAAGTATGAATAAGTTTTTCTTACTAAGATACTAAAAATTACTTACAAGTTTCAGTTTTCTGACAAAAGAGTTCCATGCTTTTCTGATAGGAAGATCTTGTGATCTTTGATTAGCTTATCTTTCATATTGTCTTCAAGACTCCTTAAAATTACTCAGCTTGAGAGACTTCTAGGTGAGCACTAAAATCCATTATATCTTTGTTTTAGATGGCTTTTAGTCTTCCCAAGGCTTGTTTAGACTCTATTGGACACCTGGTGAAGCAGAACACGTGCTTGATTAAAGGAGGAAAGATGAAGGGCCCAGGGCCTTCCGTGACCTGAAAGCAGGCAGTGATCTGCTATTATTTATCCCTGAGTGTGGGTTCCTTTTGAAGCTGTAAAAAATGAGTATTTCTCCCTTTACTCGGGTTCAGTAGCACAGGTGCAGTTTTAACTCTGGGAAGTTGCCATTTCATTTTAATAATCTGCTACTGTAATTGACTTTTTTAAAAGAACTGCTAATCAGCAGAAGAGTTTGTTGTATGTGTGAAAATTAGATTTTTCCAAGTCTGATAAATTTCAATACTTTACATAATTTAGAATCAAGTTACAAGTTAGTGTATTTGCTTTTTTTTTTTTTTACAAAATACTTTACTACGTATATAGTACTTTTTCGTAGATTAAGTTCTTGATACCTCTGTTGAAGAAATAAAAAAATGAGTATCAAAATAATAAGAGTTCACTGAGAAAAGTGTCTGGCTAAAACCTGTCAGCATTTACCTAAGGTCAGCACAGTAGATACTTCATGAATTGAGGTCACTGTGTGATGATCGTGTTCTGCAGAAAAGCAGAAAAGTCGAGTTTTAGGCTGGTTTTAGAGCAGGTCTTTCCCCTTTCAGAGTGATGCTCAAGAGTGCGCAGGAGAGAGGCAGTAGGTATGTGCTGATGTCTGCACTGAGCTTGACTTGACCTCTGCAGATACGCTGTGGTGTGCACATTATTGGGATTTTTATTTTGGTCATTTTTAATATGTTAAACATCTCCCCACAAAACTAGAAGTTTCTTGTTTTTTGAAAAATTCTTCTGGGTCAGTCAGTATTAATTTAAGGTTGAATGATAAGCTGGACTAGACTGATACATAATTAAGAATTGCTATTTTTAGTGGCACTGCAGCTTTTGTTTAATAGAAAAAGTCTTCAAAAGACTAATAACAGAGGCAGAGGCAGTTGGATCTCTGTAGGTTTGAGGCCCAGCCTGGTCTACAAAGCAAGTTCCAGGACAGCCAGGGCTACACAGAGAAACCCTGTCTCAAAAAAAAAAAAAAAAAAAAGAAAAGAGAAAAAAAGAGTAATAATAATGAACAGTTACTAGGTATATACTTATTGTAGACACTGCGAACAGCTCATGGTGTAGGTGCAGAGATTAGGGGAGACACAGCTCCTTGTGGTCATGCTTTTTAGTCACAGCTACTGCTTGAGCCTAATCTGTCTGGCTTCAAAGCCTCTAATTAACTTCACACATAACATGGGAAGGGCAGGAAACCAAGATAAACCAACAAGAAAGGAACGTGTATGTGTCTTCCTGGTAGCAACAGATGTTTATTAAAGAAGGGTTCATAAAGGTACACAAGAGGAAACAACTTCTTCTTCGTGCCGCTCATCAGTATTGTCACTTGAGTCATTTATAGACTTGAAGATATGCTCAGTTTAGGATTAGTTTATTAGTTAGTAGTAAGAGCTTATTCATGGGCTTTACTAGCCTTAGTGGTTTATAAGTGTTCTACTAAGGCACATAAAAATGCTTGGGCGCTGTAGCACATAACTGTAATCCTCGTATTTGGGAGGCAGAGGTAAAGGATTCTAAATCCAAGGTAATCCTGCACTGCATAGCACATTCTAGGCTAGCTTGAATGACATAGCAAGACTCTATCTCAAAAAAATAAAATAGTACACACACAAAAATGTATAACCTGGTATGTGGTAGAAATTGATCCATCCTATTTTGTGGAATGAAGAGAAGCTTTCACTTTTTAAAAACATTTCACTATTAAGTCCAAAATCTATTTAAGTAGAAAATAGAAATGAAAATAGATAAGTGATTAGACTATAATGTTAGTGTACTGTTGTCTAAGTTTTAATAGAGGGATATGTTGGTAAAATGCATTATTTCCTTTATAAGATATGGAAGCATTTATTTTAAGACATTAATACAAACTTAATTTTTTTAGGCATATTTTTCATAGAATATGCATTGACCCATGGCTTTTGGATCACCGAACGTGTCCAATGTGTAAACTTGATGTCATCAAAGCCCTGGGATATTGGGTTTGTTACGTTTTTTGTTTATATTCAATCTCTGCCCCAGTTCTTCCTGAGTATCTCACTTTTATTATGACTAGAGGCAAGAGGAACAGACAGAATGCTCCTTCTGATATCCTTGCTGTTATCTAAAGAAGTTTTCTGTACTAAAAATGAATTTGTAGCCGGGCGGTGGTGGCGCACGCCTTTAATCCCAGCACTCGGGAGGCAGAGGCAGGTGGATCTTTGTGAGTTCGAGGCCAGCCTGGTCTACAGAGCGAGATCCAGGAAAAGGCGCAAAGCTACATAGAGAAACCCTGTCTCAAAAAACCAAAAAAAAAAATGAATTTGTAGAGTAACCCACTAAAATCAGTGAACTGAGTTTATGACAGAAAAAGATGCTAGCATGTGTCCCCAGTTTTTAACTACTTAGAGCATTATAGTTCTGTATACTATAGTTGTGTGTGTGTGTGCGTGTGCGCGTGCATATGCATGTGTATGTTTGGTTTATGTAAACCTGAATCATAGATTCTACATTTTCTGGCTTCAGAGACACATTTTACACATACTATACCCAACAGTTTTTGACATCTGTTTTCACTGTTGCTGGGTTTCACAGTTCATTAGTACAGGATAAACTTGTTCTATATTAAGTTTTGCCCATTATTTTGTGATATTTTGATGGACAAGAATCTTCCTGGAGATACAAGGATAAAATGAAAGAGATTATAACAATAGCTAGCCACATGCTTGCTCCAAGCTTTAAACACATAATTACATTTTATCTTCACATTTATCTTCACAGTCTCTATATGAAGCACTCTTATTATCCCTACTCTATTAATTAGAAACTTAAGCTTAGAGTCGCTGACTTTTCATATAAGGTCTCATAGCTAATTGGTAAGGAACTGGCTTTCAAACATAAGTTATTTCTTCCCTACTTAGAAAAGATATGGGAGAGCTCTTTTTAAATTTTTTGGGTATTGTTGTTGTTTGTTTTTTAGATCTCAAATTATGACTCAAAATACTACTGATTAAAGTATTTTAGATAAAAAATATTTGAAGTGACTAGGAATGTAGCTCAGAGTGCTTGCATACCTTGCATTGAAGCCTCAGATTCAGTTCCCCACAGCACATAAACTGGATAAACTTTAATGGTGTCACTAACAAACTGCCCATGGAACAAGACTGGCTTCATAGGCTGCAGGGGTGCCATCATCTTCTAGCTTGGTATACCTTCAGCAGATACTAAGAGATCTCTTGCTGCTGACATGCCCTGTAGAGTGTTTCACATAGTGGTCCAGGCTGCCCTTGCTATAGTTCCTCAGGGAGGAAAGGTTGGCACCCAGCTGTGCCTTATCCTGCTTTGCCCTGAAATGTGTCTTTCTTACAGAATACCTAAACTTCCTTCAGTCCCTTTGGCCTGGGATAGCCCTAATGAGTTTGGTTCGTGCTCTCTATTATAGAAACCACAGTTCAGCAAGAAGCTGAGCCTGATGGTTCAGAATCTTAAAAGAGATTCATCACAGAGCTTGATGAATTGTTTTCTTGAAAAAAAGTCTTGAACTCCCTTAGGTTTACTTCAAAGCTTGTGCTAAGTTGTTGTCTTTTGAGTGACTCAAAACCAGCTTTTCATCTCTTGACATTTATGTGAGACTGATTTCTGTTCTTAGCTAAGCCAAAGACTTGCACCCTCATACTTTTGCTTAGAGATTATAAGTCCACATATACTCATGTATTAGAAATCAGTTTTCATTTTATATGAAGTTGAATTATTTTCTTGGAGTGTTTATTTCAAGAAGCTAGACTATAGAGAACCAGAGTGTATGACTTACTTTGTGAAGGATGGAAAGTTATTGTAACTTCAAAGCTAAGGATTTGTCTGTCTTTGATGTTTCAATTTTTAGAGGTTTCTGTTCCCTTATAACCACTCAAGAGTCCCAGTGACCCTTTACACAGCCTCTAAAGGCAGTCCTTTGGTTTGAAGCTGTGTCCACTGCATTCATTGGGCAAACAATGCTGTCTAAGAGATGTTAAGCTGAACTTGGCTCAGAGATAAATAAGGTACAGCTCCTTTGCTAGATAAGGACTCTTGAGGATTTCTCTTTCAGGCCAAATGGAGCCAGTACATATCCAGAGATACAGGGAACATGGTAAATGCCATCTGGATCAGAAAAGAAAGATCTTATACTGCCTTTTTGATGTGGAAAGGTGGAGAGAGTATATTTTAGTGTGGGGACTTTGACTGTCACCTCAGTGTCTAATAGGTGGATGGTATGTGCACAGGGATATGAACTATCAGGTTAGAGATTTGTGAAGAGTTGAGTTTGGCAGGTATTTAGAGACACCGGTTGGGATGGGACTGAACAGGAGTTGGCATTGTGACATTACGACAACAGGAATGTTTGCTTGATGTATTATGAGTTGGTGTCAGGAAAGAGTGGTTTGAGTGTCTAGGATGCCAAGTTACTGCTGAGGGAGGAGGGGGTGGCTTTAAAATGCACATAGAGCAGACTAAAGATGTCTGAGAACCCAAGGAGGTCGAGTGCCTCTGACTCCCATGCTCACAAGCCTGCCAGCTGTTAGTCACTTTCCAGCAGTTTCATCTGCCCACGTGCAGCTTTAGCTCTTTGATTAACCAAGAAGCATGTCTGAAACACCCACCCACTCATGTTGAGGCTTAATGTCGTGGTGCTAAAGGAGTCTCTGGCCCTCCTTTCATTATCTTCCTTCAAAGCAGCAGAGAGAAGAGGGAGGGAAGTTGGAGATAAAGCACAGCTGAGAAACTGTATATAAGGAAGAAGTCAGGACTGAGTTTAAACCAAAAACCTGAAGCCTTTAGCTGTTCAGATTCTGTCTGTCTCTGACACCCCAGGGTTGTGCTGAGCCTGGGCTGTCACTAGGGCACCTGGCTGCCTCCCGAGGGGACAGCAGTGAGGCTGCACAAGTTCACACTCTGCAAGAAGACAGTTTCAGGAAAGAGCCACTTTGTGATAAATAGTTTAAAAGGTGAGACACAACTTGCACGAGACTATCTTTAGAGGAAAACAACCAAACTTGGTAGGTCTTAGAAAGCTGCCTATTGCGAAGTAACCCCTTTTATCATGACATTGGATTGAGGAGGTGGTGTGCTTCCCACCAGATTACCTGTAGAGAGTCAAGGATGTCTTGTGTTAACTTACTAGCAAATGACCCCACAGTGTGGTCATGTCACTGAGAAAGTCATTGCCTTTTGTCTACCTCTCAAGGGGGACCCTGAGGATCCACAGGAGTTACCCATTCCAGAAGCTGCTCCGGGAAGTGTTTCTGTTGGGAATCTGAGTATGACATCCCACAATGAGGACAGGAGTGGGGAAAGCAACCTTCCGTCATCTTCCTCAAGTGAGTCTGGGCCACACCGCCCCTGCTTCAAAGAAGATGCCGGGGAAGACACAGCGTTACTAGGTATGTGGCTGCAGTTGTAACACCATGATGTTACCAGTGATGGAGTGGAATGGAAAAGAGAAAAATATAAAAGCATAAATGAAAACTACAGTCCCACACTTAGAGATACCATTTTAACCTTTTGATAAATACATTCTCAAGAACGGGGAAATATCATGTAAATGTTTGGTAAGCTGTTCTTATAATGTATAATGTTCTTTCTCTATCATTGCAAGATAAATTTTTATGACTATCTTCTATTTAAGTTTTTCTTCTGAATTAATTGCTCAATTCATCCCTACTTTTTTTGTGTTTTGTTTGGCTTTCTGTATTCTCATTGTATTGTATAGTTAGCATAGCTCATAGTCTCCTTGCGTCTGCTTCTCAACCCACCTAATTTTTTCATACTAATTCTTAGTTCAAGCTCTGTCTTAGTTACTTTTCTAATGCCATGACAGAACACCATGACCAAGGCAACTTAAAACATTTATTGGGCCGGGCGGCGGTGGTGGCGCACGCCTTTAATCCCAGCACTCGGGAGGCAGAGCCAGGCGGATCTCTGTGAGTTCGAGGCCAGCCTGGGCTACCAAGTGAGTCCCAGGAAAGGCGCAAAGCTACACAGAGAAACCCTGTCTCGAAAAACCAAAAAAAAAAAAACAAACATTTATTGGGGCTCACTCTTCCTGAAGGTTAGAATCCATGACCATGATGGTGGGGAGCATGACAGCAGGCAGGCATGCACTGGCACAGTAGCTGAGAGCTCACATCTCATCCACAAGTTCAAGGCAGAAAGGGAAAGAAAATGGGCTTGGTGCAGAGGTTTCAAACCTCAAAGCCCCACCCCCAGAGACCACCTCCAACAAGGCTAGACCACTGTTCCTCCCAGACAGACAGCTCCACTAGCTGGGGACCAGGTGTTCAGATGTATGCGCCTGTGCGGCATTCTCATTCAAACCACCACAGACTCTTTAGAAAAGAAGCTTTTTTTGTATTGCAGTGGTGTCACTCAAACCTGCAGCTTTGGGCTTAGCCCTTTCTTACAACTTTTTAGAATTTAATTATGAAAATACACAACCTCTGTCATATATTATTATATTGTTATCTTCTCCCTCAGTTTCTTTATTTCTTCTTAGTGTTAGGGATGGAACTCGGGGGTTTGGGGAATACTGAGCACAAACTCTGGCACTCAGCCATCTTCCAGTGCCTAATTTCTGTATCTTTCAGTTTCTTTGTAATTTTTTTGTCTTCTAGCATCTCCTTAGGCCTTTTATGACATGATAAATAGGAAAGTCTTTCTTCTTGGGGTTGGCTATAGAATTATGACTTGTATTTTGCTAATATTTGTGGGGTTTTTTTCCTTTTCTTCAAATTCTTTTTTGAAACAGCATCTTATGTAGACCAGGCTAGCCTCAAACTCCCTAGGTAGCTGAGGATGACCTTGAACTTCTGATTTATCTGACCACCACCTCCCAAGTGCTAAGATTATAGGCATGCGTTACCACCATGGTTTTATGCAGTGCTTGGGATCAAACCCAGGGTTGTGTGCATGCTAAGCAAGCACTCTACCAACTGAGCTACATCCCCATTTCTACCACCTTTTTTAAATTTGTTTTTTTTGTTTTTTGGTTTTTCGAGACAGGGTTTCTCTGTGTAGCTTTGCGCCTTTCCTGGAACTCACTCTGTAGCCCAGGCTGGCCTCGAACTCACAGAGATCCGCCTGGCTCTGCCTCCCGAGTGCTGGGATTAAAGGCGCGCGCCACCACCACCCGGCTTTCTACCACCTTTTAATTAATTTATTCATTGATTTATTGGGGTACCCAGGTGTGCTATTACTCAAGTGTAGAAGTCAGAGGATAACTTTTAAGTAGTCAGTTCTCTCCTCCTACTATGGGTCTCAGGGATCAAACTCAGGTTGTCAGGCTTGGCAGGAAGTACTGAAACATCTTACTGGCCCCCTCTTCTGCATTCTTTAAAGATTAATTAGGAAGTTATTTTGAGCCTGGTGTGATAGTGGTGTGATGTCTTTATACCCAGCACTTGAGAGGCAGAGGCATGTGGATCTTGGTGTGTGTGAGGCCAGCCTGGTCTATGTAGGGAGTTCCAGGCCAGCTAGGACTCATAGTGAGACCCTGTCTCCAAACAAAAGAGGGTGTAGCGATGGCTCCATGGTTAAGAGCACTGGCTGCTCTTCCAGAAGACCTGAGATCATTACCAGCACTCACATGATGGCTCACAACCATCTGTAACTCCAGTTCCTGGAAATTCCATACCCTGTTTGGCCTCTACAGGCACCAGACATGCATGTTATATGTACGTACGTACATACATACATACATACATACATACATACATACATACATACATACATACATACAGGCAAAATACCCATACACATAAAATAAAATTTTATTTTGTCAATTAAAAGACAATCCCACCGCCGGGCGGTGGTGGCGCACGCCTTTAATCCCAGCACTCGGGAGGCAGAGCCAGGCGGATCTCTGTGAGTTCGAGGCCAGCCTGGGCTACCAAGTGAGTTCCAGGAAAGGCGCAAAGCTACACAGAGAAACCCTGTCTCGAAAAACCAAAAAAAAAAAAAAAAAAAAAAGACAATCCCACCAATATTTTAGTAGAATTAATCTATAGATTATTTTAGTTGAGAATAATTGATTCTTCTAACTTTGAATTTGGCCATCCTAGAAGATTTCCAAAACAGTAAGATTCAAATAGAATCAGTGTGTCTTTTAACATGTTTAGGAAAACTTACAGAAACGTTAGAACTTCGGTTTTTATTGTGTACGGATATATGTGTATTGAGAGGGTGGACTGCACATGTGTATGCAAGTGAAAGTGCAGTTGTGCACACTGTTGTGCAGGCCAGAGGTCACCCTCAGGTATCATTCTTCAGGGCATCATCCACTTCCTTTTTGAGACAAGGTCTCCCACTGCCCTGAGACTTGCCTGCTAAGCTAGGCTGGCTGACTGGAGAGCCTCAGGGATCTATCATCCCTCTCTACTTTTTCTAGTGCTGGGATTACAAGCACACACTACTACGTGCAACTTTTTTTTAATGAGTTTTCTAGGGATTAGACTGAGGTAGTAAGTAAGCACTTATGAGCTGAACTATCTTCCAAGCTCTTATATCTTAAGTTCTAAACCAGTGCTGGAGGAGAGAGGAAAAGGAATGCTTTGGAGAGTGGGCAGCACTAGGGAGTGGATTTCACAGGATCATAATTATAGCTGGGACTTGGTCACACCATTTCTCTGACCAACACTGAACTGACCACATTACAAGGCAGTGTATTCGGCATAGTAAGGAATTTTGCTTTTAGGAATCCTGTTGAGACAGAGTTCATACTACTATGATTTGGGCCACTGACTTCAGAATCAGAAAGAAAACTAAATTTCTTTTCTCAAGAACATGGCCCCACTTGTGAGATGTGTAAACACAGAGGTCCTTCAAAGGTACTCGCTAGGTGAATGTTGGCTCAGGAAACACTAGAAAGCCTGTTTACCACACTGAAGGAAGGATATTTCTCTTACTGGCGTTCTTTGAAATGGGTTGTCATTTTTACATGTAAGTTTTATTTAAATGTTTCTATAATTTGCTTTTTAAAGTATTATCTCCATATGTGTAACTGAGGTTGGACAGACCTACTGACCTAGGGTGGCTTCTGTTGCTTTGTTGTAGGAGCCTGCAGGAATGACCCTCAGCATGGAGGAGCCATCTGCTAGCACACAGCCTCCCTGACAGCCTCACCGATACAGCCTTGGCTTGAACTACAGGACATTTAATTTTTTACTCTAGGGCATAGTTTGTATACTTGAAAACAGTGGATATTATTTTACTTTACCTTTCAGATTCAGATTTGATACAAAGGGCTGAGATATTTTATTCCTAAGAGGACTTTTAATTAGCCTTCATCTATTTATCTACTAAAGTATGATGTATATCATAAATTTTGTTGTGTCAGACTGTCACAGATGTGGGGGTGGTAATATTTCTGAGTACTAGACTAGCTTCTGTGGTACTATTAAACGAAATTCTGTTTCTAAGTTAAAGTAGAATTGTGTAATATAATTCAGTAATTGATCAAATGGACATTCCCTGAAGCAGACTCTTTAGAACTTGTAAACTGAGAAATCTTGCCATGGGCAGTGCAGTGGTGCATGCCTGTAAACCCAGCACTCAGGAGGCTGAGGCAAGAGGATTTTGAGTTGAAGCCAAAAAGAAGGGACTGAGGGGAAAGAGAAAATCAACTAACTGTCTTGCACTATTATTAGTCCATAGAGACTTCAAAACCAAGCATAACTTTTTATTGTTTGGAATTGTGAAAAGAATACTGGTTGATTTTATGATTTGCATTTTTATCTTTATTGCCTATTTTCTTTTGACACTTGGAAGGAGAAAAAAAATTATCTGTGTTTTTCCACACACACACAAAATGGCAGGAATGCCATATTGCACATTAAAAGTATTAAAATATTGATTCATTAAGAAAATCAAGGCCGGGCGGTGGTGGCGCACGCCTTTAATCCCAGCACTCGGGAGGCAGAGCCAGGCGGATCTCTGTGAGTTCGAGGCCAGCCTGGGCTACCAAGTGAGTCCCAGGAAAGGCGCAAAGCTACACAAAGAAACCCTGTCTCGAAAAACCAAAAAAAAAAAAAAAAAAAAAAAGAAAATCAAGTAAGCATACTGTGATGTTTTTAAATGATTAGTATATTTCAGTGGACCTAATCTTTATAATTAAAACAATTTAAATTAAAATTTTTGATTTTTGTTGTTAGACTAAAATAACATTTTCCTAATGAGATTTTAAAACAGTTCAATACTTTATTCGTCTTTCCTCTGCTTGATGTTCCCACAGATAAAGCCCTTGAAGGTTGTTGTCTGAGTTCTTTAGAGTGGTCAAATACTTTAGAGTAGGAGTCCTTTGTTGATCCCAAACTTGTGTTATATGTCTACTTTGTAGACAAAAATAAATGCTTAGTAACAAAAAAAAATTTATGTAACAAATTTTATTTAGCATAATCAGTCCCAACATTCAGCACAAAAAGTTTACAGAGGATAAAAAGTGTATTAATAAAAGCCAGTCTTTACCCAAAGGATACAGAAAATATATTGATTCAAAATACTTTACACTTCAGTGGTAAACTGAGAGTGTTTTTTGTTTTGTTTTTTAAGTTTATTTTGTGTGTATGGGTACTTTCCCTGTATGTCTGTCTGTGCACCATCTGCATGCCTAGTACCAGAAGAGGCCAGAAGAGGGCATCGGATCTGTTGGAACTGGAATTACAGAAGGTCATGAGGTGCCTTGTGGGTTCTGGGTATTGAACCTGAGTTCTCTGACCACTGAGCCATCTCTGCAGCCCAAGAAAAGACTTTTACGAAGTGTTTCTGGCTGACACAAGTCAGTAGAGGTCACTGACCCACAGTCTTTCTTGCCTTTTGCATTAACGTCCTCAGCTGGCATTACTTACAGGACAGGAGACAACCATGAGTCAGGAACATATCCAGGTCTATTACTCTCCACTTCGAGGCTTCCACCGGTAAAAGATAAGTATCTTCATAGCATTTCCTCTGCATACAGATTCAGGAATAACTTCATCAATATCATTTTCAGATTTATTTTCCATTTTCTCCAGAGTAAAATTTAATTATCTTTCTTCACGAGTTCTGTTTTGATTAACTTCAGCTATTTCTTAATCTAAATGGGTGACCATTTCTTCTAGTTCCCAGTGATCTGTTGTGCTCTTTGTTTCAAAGCATTGAGCCCTACCTAGGTGTGATCCATTTCCTCCACCTGCCATCTCAGTTTGTCACTGACTGTTGAGAGATGCTCCAGTAGTGTCCTTACTGATTATATCATCTCTGACCACAGGATCCTGGAAAGCATACTAGGAATGTGGCAGGGTATGGACCACCTGGTGGGTAAGGACAGCTAGGGTAACCACTGGGATTAGGGAGAGAGGTATCCAAATGGGTATAGAAATTCTCCCTGGCATGCCTGGCATGTAGGTCTTTGGTGGTCCTGTTTTTAGGTACAGTGAAAGGATGTAGAAATGGTAGGATGGAGAACATTGAAAAGATCCTTCTCTAAACACTGCAGTCGTGACCTGAATAAGCTTCAACAGTCTGACTGTAAGTGTTTCTTTTCATGTAGGTATGGAAGGTAGATCTTCCCATTTTGAACTACATGCTTTCTGTTTCGGTAGTCACTGAACTAGTGGGCTTAACAAAATGGGATGGTGTCTGTATCCAGCAACCATAGGTATATTGGAATATTACACATACTGCTTCCATAATAACAGGAATTGTTCTGGTAAGGTTCATTAGTTCCCTGGAACTGCCATCATTTAAAAAATGAGTCCAGTACAATTTTGGGATCTTTGTATAGAGTAATAACTGACAGATTCACATACAGATATGTGTTTATATATGGACACCATCTCCTACAGCTGGCTGTGGGACAGCACCATGGCACTCTACACCTCCATCTTCATAGGCAGAGCATCAACATCCAGAGAAATGCAGAGGCTATCCCAAGCCAGCACCAAGAAAATAGAATTTTAAAGGCTAAATTTATTCTTAAGGCCATATCTAAGACATGAAAGCTTTTTTTACAGTTCGATTCTAGCTACTCAGTAAAATATGTGGTGAATTTTACTGAAAGAAATGTACAACCAGATTAATATGAGCTGTTGAAGTAGAAAAACCTCTTATTTTGAGCACTTATTAAGAGTCTCAAAGTTGGTTTTACAAGTTCTCACTGAACCTCTCTCTCTGTGTGGTCAGTGCAGACAGGAAATACGAATTTTTTTTTTTTAAAAGATTTATTATGTATACAGCATGTATGACTGCAGGTCAGAAGAGGGCACCAGATCTCATTACAGATGGTTTTGAGCCACCATGTGGTTGCTGGGAATTGAACTCAGGACCTCTGGAAGAGCAGTCAGTGCTCTTAACCTCTGAGCCATCTCTCCAGCCCCAAAATATGAATTCTTTATCACATAGATTAGTGCTGTCTTTTAAGACATGCCAGGGAAAATGCTGTAATCATTCTAACAGCGGATGAAGCTGGCTTTTACAAAGGATATTGTGATAGAGCAAGGTAAATTGTTTTTAATCATTTAACCATTACTGAAGCATTTTTTAAGGCAGGGTCTCATTGTTTAATCCAATCTGAGTTTGCATTCACCATCCTTCTGCCTCAGCTTTCCCAGTGGTGAGATTACAAGCATGTGGACCACTTCTGACTCTGAAGAGTGTTTTGAAGATTGGAGGCTGTGGTTGAAAGAGGCAGTGTCCATGACACAGAACATTGTTTGCTGTGTTCCTGCTCTCTCCTGGCTTTTCACTGTACAGTGTTGATTGGTATTTCGACTCTCAGCAGAAAACCAGAGTTGGGACCACATGTTCTCACTTGGCAGGTAATTGTTTCTCACATTGCTGAACTGATTGGGGTCTTGAACCTTTCTTTCCAATGGCTGCTGAGGAATGATGACAATAAAAGGCCGAATTGCAGTGTCTCCATCAACAGTTTGCTCTCTGTGTGGGCACACGATGACAAAACCTCCTGAAGCGAATCACTGTCTGACCTCAGTAATGCCAGGGTGGAAGCTTCCTGCCTGTGGTCAACTTCCCACACTAAGAAAAATAATCAGTGTCTTAGACTAACTACCTTGACCAAACAGCATCAGTGTACCTTTAAACACATTTATCAAATCAAGGACTGCTAGAATTGTAAAAGTAATAGTAGCCCTTCCCGAATAAGATAGCTAAATTGGGCAGCAGTGTCCTTGGGGCAAGTTGATATTATTTGCTCAAGGAAGGATAAGGTTTAATCAGTGTGTCTCTATTATTAGCTGGAACTTGAGGACATTGTTTTAGACAAAAGTAGTTTGTACAGATCAGGAAAATATTGCTTTGTCATTTCCTAAGCACTAGGTGTTGGTCTGAAGCAGAGATGGCTTTGTGGTTTACTGCGATTGTGCTTCTCTGATGAGACACTGCATTAGAAAAGCCACCTGTGACTCTTCTCAGCTCAGTCTTGCTTCTATAGCCTTAGAAACATTTGTCAAGGTTTCATTCCCAAATAGTTGTAGATGAATCCTCATTATAGTAGTGTCTGCCATGCAGCCAGCCACCTGCCTCAGTGAAGTCTAGAACAAAATCATGAGTTGAAGTATCTGTGCCTGTTCATTTGAAAATATGACGAACAAAAGTCCATCTTTCTGACAAATGGTAGGTTATGTGCTGGGCTGATGAAAAGGTTGAGAAAAGCAGTATTTTCTGTGGGCCCATTATAGTTACCAAATCTCAAGCTTCTGTCTAATGTTCCTAATATAGACAGTAGTAGTTACAGAAAAAGAGCAAGATGAAATTAAATTAGCAGTCTTAGTAAGCAGTTGCTAAGATTTGATGAATGTATGAAACCTTTTTCCTAATTACTAATTTCTCAGATAAATACTCTAGTTACCAAGAGCTACTCAAAATATTGTGTAGACTGTCTCATAGACTCTGAGATCCACAATTACTATGGAAATGTTAACTAAAATATATTAAGTGTGCTACTTAAAATTAGGTGTAAATAAGAATGTGCCCTATAAACTTAGTGATCTTATTTCTGTAAAGTTGATTCAATGCTATTGAGAATTATTTAAGTGGTTGTATTTTGGGATTCCAAAATGTGTTTTTAAAAAACTACTACTACTCTTAAAATGTTACTGACTAGTGTTTTGTTTTGTTTTTTCTGAACAGGTGATTTGAAGATTTAAGTTGAACTAAAAAAAAATCTTGAATTTTAACCTATGTTAAATTAAACTAGTTTAATTACACTTCAAAGTCGATTGTGGTTATTCAGTCTCACTCACGATTATAATTCTGCTTCCTTTTTTGGAGATGGTAACTTGTTTGCTCAGGCTGGCCTTAACTTTCTAGGTTTAAGCAATCCTGCTCCAGTAAACCCAGGTAGCTGAGACTACAGGGCTGAACCAGGGTGTGCATTCAGTGTAAACATGCTAAGCCTAGAGTAATTTAGTGGTGCTACAAACTTTGATTATGTACATCTAATGTTCACCAAGACTGTGATCTTGACCTCCTCATTATAGGGTCTGTATTTGAGAATTTTATTTGGGATTCCAAAATCAACAAGGACACTTGATTTTTTTCCTCTTGTGTGCCACAACATGACTTATTTTCTGATGTGTAGGAATTTTTGAGTTGCTTGTGCCTTTTGCTACAGCTCTCACTACAAGAGTCCCTTCCCAACTTGTACCTTATGGGGGGGGGGGGGGGCGCGGCGTGTACCGTGTTTGTCTTGGCAGTTACATGAAAATGAACATAGTGAATTACCATGTCTTGGTGTCAGCTTAACAAGGCTATGACAGGCTTTTTAAGTTTCAGGCATGTGTTTATGGGTCCCAAGTGCTGTCCTTGTTGGCTGCAGGTTAAATGTATTTTACTAAACTCAGGCAACCATCCTTTAGACAGGACACTTGTCATCTACAGAATTCACACTCAAGAACGACACGATCACATTTTAAAGACACATGCACACATATGCCTCCCCTAAAATGGTATTTTAAGTTTTCAGTTTTGTGTTGGGCTGCAGCTATAGCTATCCTGGGCTACAGGTTAGACATGTTGATCAGCTGTAGAGCTGTTCCCACTGTGAGTCTTTGAAACCTGTCCTTCTAAAACTGTTTTGGTCCTGTGCTGGCCTTTGCTCAGTGCCATCTGCAAAATGGTGGTGGTCACTTGGAGGCATTGAGAGAAGTCAGCTGTTTAGTGCAGAGGTGGTCACTCCTACAGCGGCTCTAGGCTCATTCCTCTAGCCATAAGGATAAGGAGAATGTGTTACACATCTGGAGTTCTGTTCCTTCTCTGCTATTAGAAGACTAACTTGTACAATAAGACACAACCACCAAGCTTGGCTTCCTTTAACTCTAGCCAAATGTTGGAGAACAGTCTATCTATAAATCTGTTCTAGGAATGCCTCCATAAGAGGAATTTTTTTCATAATTTCTTTAAATAAGAAGGTAAGTCAGCCGGGCGGTGGTGGCGCACGCCTTTAATCCCAGCACTCGGGAGGCAGAGGCAGGCGGATCTTTGTGAGTTCGAGGCCAGCCTGGTCTACAGAGCGAGATCCAGGAACGGCACAAAGCTACACAGAGAAACCCTGTCTCGAAAAACAAAAAAACAAAAAAAAAAAAGGTAAGTCAGACCAAAAAAAAAGGGGGGGGGGGGGCTGGATGTGGTGGCATACACCTTTAATTCCAGCACTCAGAAGCAGGAGGATCTTTAAGTTCAGAGGCCAAGCCTAGTCTATATAGTGAGCTCCAGGACAGCCAAAGCTACATAGACAGAACCTGTTGGGGGGGGGACCTCAAAAAAATTTTAAGGCACTGACCTTATTCAACTTCCCCACCAAACAGGCATCTAGGGTACACCCTTCTGGTATACCAGCTCCTATCTGTCTATAAAACAACAAAAAAACATGCCCATCTTAGACTACAATTAGTAGAGAATAAAGTTCCAGCTATTATAGCCTAGCAAAAGGTCCCTGCCTGAGAGTGCCCATGTTTGCTAGAGGCCCAAGAAACACTGTTGCCAAGAAGGGTGTGCCAGCTAGGCAGTGATGGCACACCTTTAATCCCAGCAGAGGCAGGTGAATTTCTTAAATTTGAGACCAGCCTGGAACAGCCTGGTCAAGTTCCAGCCAGAGCTACACAGAGAAACCCTGTCTTGAAAAAACAAAATTGTTAGCCCCTGGTTCAGACCCTGCTTAATAACTACACTCAGCTGCTCTAAGCACAGACCAGATCATAAATTCTCAGTATCTTCACTTACTCTCACTGAACATGTTTTGTACTAGAAGCTACAAAAAGCAGGATTCATGGCGTCTAGGAAACCTGCAGTTAAAAAAAAGTGGGTACTTTGTTTTAAATTAAGAGAAATACCTGCACCTCCTTTCCTGGAATAACTATTCCTCCTATGGATTGTCATCAGCAAGAGAGCTAAAAGATATTTTCCCAAGTTCTTAACAAAATTCATCCATGGAAAAATCATCTAAGAAAAAGGAATTTTTTTTTTTTTTGCTTAAGTTAAATAGTGTCATTTATATTTCTTAGATAAAGCAAGCAATCCACTCAAGAGTTTCAACAGTTTTTAAAAACCAATCCAAATACAGTTGAGCAATAGAAGTTCCGGTGAGGTATTATTTTGATATTTTGGTCTCTGAAGGGGTTTCCCCAGTATCCAGTGTCTTCAGCAACCGGAATAGGCCTGCAGCTTCCCGTATCCTACTAAATTCAATACAGAAGGCCTGCACCTCTATAAACAAGTCCTGCACGTTAATAATTTTGTTACGGATCAAAGACTGGAGAAACACACACACAAGACGCACCAAACGATTCTGGAAAAGAAAAAGGGACAAGTTTTAGGAACTTGTTTTCCTGGCACATAATGTTACAAACATTTCTACTACTCACCTGCATATATTTATCCTTAATTTGTTCACAAGTAGAGATGCAATTGGATATGTAAAGGTGAATAAATTCAGGAGGTAGATCAACAGCTGTAGTTAGTCTGTTTTAGGGGAAAAAAATTAAGCTATGAATTGTATTTGCTAATATTGAGGAGTACTGTAAATATGAAGTCAAAATTTCCCTGTGGTCATCTAGTAAAAATTTGTGACCCAATTCTCTACTTTTAAACCCAAGAGCCACAGCCACTTAAACCTCTGACACTTCTATTAAGTTTATACTTACATATTATACTCTGTAATTACCCATTAAGCAATGAGTGTCATACTATGTCCCTGAAACACTTATTTCCCTGGCTAAATCACTGTCAGTCACAGTCTTACCCACGTCCAAGCTCAACCTCAGCAGGTACTGCCATCATTTAAAACTCAGAAAAGAGCCAGGTGGTGGTGGCGCACGCCTTTAGTCCCAGCACTCGGGAGGCAGAGCCAGGTGGATCTCTGTGAGTTCGAGGCCAGCCTGGTCTCCAAAGCGAGTTCCAGGAAAGGCGCAAAACTACACAGAGAAACCCTGTCTTGAAAAACCAAAAAAAAAAAAAAAAAAAACTCAGAAAAGTCCTATAAGCACTATGAGAGGCAGTGTGTCTCAGATGAAGGTAGACCAAACAGCACAACATATAATCAGACTAAAGTGGAGCTTTGCAGAAGAAACATGAACTTGGTAAAGCCTTCAAGTTACTTGAACTGATAGGGAACAAAACAGGCCTATCTGAGAATTGAGCATGGAACACAGGCTTAGAACTGACAATTACACAGTCTTAAAGACTCAGCAACTGTGTAACAAGCTTAAGAGTTTTTAAGCCTAAGTATTTTCCAAAGGATTAAGTGGAATAATAAGAAAGAGTCAGAGCCAGGTGGTGGTGGTGCAGGCCTTTAATCCCAACATTTGGGAGGCAGAAGCAGGTGGATCTCTGAGTTCGAGGCCAGCCTGGTCTACAGAGTGATTTTCACAATAGCCAGGGCTACATGGAGAAACCTTGTCTCAAAAGAAGGGGGGGGGATCAGGTAAGAATTCCATACAGAGTTCAAGTTCAGCCCAGGAACTATTAGGACACTGGGCTGGCTACTGTAAACTATTTGACCTTAAAGCATAAGGCTCTAAAGTACTTTAAGAAAACTGCCACCAGCACTGCCTACTGAGATTTGTATATCAGCAGCAAGGCTACTTATCCTTGGGAATAATAAATTATGATAAGCTAGAAAACAAGCAGAACTAGTACTTGACTGGTAAAGACACTACAGGAATGCAGTGAGGAAGAATCCAAGAACACTCAGATTGCTCCATCCAATGGCAGAATTTAACCAACGCAAAAATAGCAACTGCGACTATAATAAAGGAGGTAGAAGCAAGCAGCGTGTTTTCAACAAGTAGCCAGCCAGCTCCACCAGTGACGCAATGCTTACAAAGGAACTGGGAAGCTCTTGCTTCCTTTCTTCTCCCACCTCTTTCTTGTGCACAGAGCTACCAGCCAAGCTTCGGTCACCAGCTGACTTAACACATTCTTTAGTTCAAGTTTCAAAAAGTTGCCACCTTACATATAGATGTTCAAAAAGAATGTGATCTGGCTCACACCCATAGTCCAAGGCACAGAGAATGAGGCAGGACTGCTAGGGTTTGAAGCCAGGATACTATGAGATCCTATTTCAAAAAGAAGGTAGATTACCTCAGAAAGATAATACCCACCCACCTACATTTAATTCGTAATTTACCTAAAACCTATCTGTGATGAAAACTACATAGACCACACCCATAGGGGAATGCATTCTTTCCTTGATGGTCACTGAAGACAAAGTCAACAAAGAGCTGGGAAGCCAGGCAGGGCTAGAGAGAGACTGTCTCAAAGAACACCAACAAAAGCTGGGAGAGCACAAGTACTCTCCAGAAGTGCGTGCCTAGCGGTGCAAGTCTAAGGGCCACACGTACTGGCTGCCAAGGGATGAAAACCTGGACTTGTAGGGGGCACAAAGACAGTGAAGTAAAGTTAACAACTGAATTCTTACAAATGGAGGCTAAAGTCACATGCAGTGAATACTAAGGATCAGTTTAGGTTAACAGTATCAGAAAAGGGAAAAACCTGCCACAGCTTTTCAAAGTTCCAGGTCATTTACTCAGGGTTTGAATACTAATTACACTTCTGGTGGACCATGAACACTTACCGATTTACAACTTCCATCGAATGTAATGACATGTCCATATTGACCAGGACAGAGAAGTACTCCGTGATCTGGCTTGACTGCATGAGTTTCAACAGCATTTCTATAGCGACTAAAGGGTTGTTCTCCACTAGGTCTGGAAGTTTCGCTGGAGTAAGGCCAATGTGATAAACAAGTTTGGGATCTTTTTCCAGCTCACCAAGGAGCTAAAGAAAAACAAATTGAGAGGTTTTTGAGTCATATTAGAATATTTTTCCTGCATACAAACACGTTTTATATAAGAATTATAAAAACTATCTTTGTTAAGTTAATCTGTTAAATTTCTTCCCTCAAATCCATGTTCATTATGTCTTGATGTATTTTCAAATTTGAATTGTGATGATACAAAAAAAAGACAATTTGTAAATCCACTAGACATTCTTCCTGTAGACAAGACAGTCTTGATTTTGTATGGCAGAATACAGTATGACCATAGTAGTGTCATTCTTAAAATCTTAATTACTAACTTCTCCCAAAACACACAAACCAAGTTGAGTGTGGTAGCACTTGAGGCAGGAGGTGGCCAGCCAAGGCTACATTGTGAGTTCAAGGTTATTCAAGGTATATACGGTAAGACCTTGTCTCAGTTTAAAAAAGAAAAAAAAGCCACACACCCTCCATAAACCACAAAATAATTCAGAACAAGGGCTATGCCCTGTCTTACCCAGAAATAACAGAAATACCCTAGAAAGGGACAGAATAGAAACACTTCAAGTGTTCTACCTATAATATTTTATAGTTCAAGTTATACCCACACTTCGCAATCCCAAGAGATGGAAAAATTGTTTTCCTTGTCCAAATACATACTTTTTCTTTTAAAAAAATTCATTTATCTTGAGGCTGTTTGCCCTGTGGCCCAGGCTAGCCTTGAGCTCCCTATCCTGTGGAGCCTGATCTTCAGTTCCTGATTTTCAATCTCTACCTTCCAAGTGCTAGGATTACGGGCATGCACCATGCCCATTCCTTTTAACCCTTTATCTTCTTTCAGCTACTTGTATATTCCACACTGGACTGTTTCATGATTGTTGAATAGCAAACTGAAACTACAAACAATTGCATCACTTCAAAAATATTTGTGGGGGGAGACTGGAAGATGATCCAGTGGTCAGGAGCACTTGCTGCTCTTCTAGAGGACGAGGATTTGGTTCCTAGCACCCACATGGAGGCTCACATCTGTAACCCCAGTTCCAAAGGATCTGATGTCCTCTTCTGGCATCTGAGGGCACTGCACCCATACAGTGCACAGACATGCAGGCAGACAAAACACCCATATGCATAAAACAAATCTTTTTTTTCAATTCGATTAAAATTTAATGGATATTTTATTTTAAATGATGAACTGAATTGGAAGTAACAGTATCTTCCTACCAGGTCTAACTTGAAAGTGTATAAACCTAATGAAACATACAACCCAGGGTGTCCATCCAGTTGTAATCTTGGGCAGCAAGGGAGATAACCTCACTCCACCACTAAACACCATATGCTAAAGCCTAGTGTACTCCCTGAACCTCACTGTTTATACAACATCAACAACTCCACACATCCTCGAGTTACTGTCCAGCCAAATACAGCAATGCATATGATGTGCCTAACTGATACGCACCTGGAATGGTGCCCCAATTTGAGACTCTTCCTATCTCACCACCTCCCCGAGACAAAATGAACACAGAGTCTAGACATTTTCATTCATTAGACTTCTTGTCTCATCAGAGCAAAATTATCAGACGAGGAAAGGCCAGAACACAGCTTCAGAGATTGCTTCCTCCTGCTGGCTCATATCAACCACTGACTGCTGACTTATCACTTATGGGAGGAAAACCTTGTGATGGGTCACAGATGGGACACTGTTTGTAATACATACATACCTGTGTTTGTTGGGGAGAAGATAAAGGGCTTTTGAAGGCTTTGGCCATGATCCGCTTGATCTCCACACCAGTGCTATTCTTAACACACATTGATTTATCCCACTGAATGGCATGCTCGGGTTCTGTAGGATTTAGCCAGGCCAGTTCATCCTCACAAATGTGGAGAGGTGGTGGTGGGCGGATAAACTCTGGCCGGAAGTGACCTATAATGAGAGTAATACATGACTGTATCAGTGAGCTAAAATCTGCACACACCTCATGTGTATTTCACTTAATGAAGTGCAAGAATGTCTTTAATAAGAACATATGATAAATTCATGCTTCAAATAGTAATGATATGAGAGTTCCACCCAAATTATACCTAAGAAAACACACACACACACACACACAAAATCAGCATGATGCCAGGAACCAAATCTGCTTTTTGGAAAGACAAAATCATGTGCATGAAGTTTTAAGTATGTCCATTTAGGCTAAGGATGCAGATGCCAATTGGCAGATTTTTATTACTATTATTTTTTTTAAAGTCTCACTATGTAGCCCTGGCTGTCCTGGAATTCACTATGTAGACCAGGTTAATCTCAAACTCACAAAGATCTGCCTGCCTCTGCTGGGATTAAAGGCATTTGTTACCATACCCAGCTTATAACTAAGATTTTATTATTTTTTTTTCTTTATATTATTTTTGCACTCAGGACCTCACAGTGCTATACAGAGTGCTTGGAGCTGTCCCTGCAATTCAAGGTTGAAGTGTAAGTTATCAACATACTAAAATAAACTCATTAGGACTTATCCTGAACTAACATCACACCTTACTTGGTTACTACACAGATGAAAAGCTAAAACCCCATACTATGACAACCAAGTCACAGAGCCTGCCACCAGTGGTTTATAATTTATAATGTCTTACATAAACACTTGCAGCCTAACTCCCAGTGACCCACAGTACTATATCCAAGTGGCCAGTCTCAAGAAAGACAAATTGCATGGTAAATTTTACTACTTAACAAAACAGACACTCACCTATCTACCCAGCTATGGTCTTGCCTGCACAATAAACCCCAAAAAGACCCAGGAGTTAAGAGCAAGTAATTTCCACTAAACTGTGATAAAAAGAATTCTCACTCCCCCTCTGCGGCTTCTAGTGTACAGCAATACATTCTCTTTTTGTCCTAATAGTAACTTTTACCCAGCCTTCCAGAAAGCATTTCCCACATAGGATGGAAGGTGGTTTGTCCTGCTATGGATCCTAGGCTCTCCCAAATTTGAGACTAATCTCTAATTTACTAACAAAGTCTTTTGCTGGCAAAGAATCACCAAGCACACATCTCCAACGCAGACTCCCTAGCATCACCAGAATGAATTCCCGTGTCTCTCCTTGGACAACACAGGAAGCACTCCTTATGTGAGGTAGGAATGTCGAGGTGTGGTTACACTCAGTTACACACATACATACCTGGCTGATGGCCCATGCACTCAAACCCAGAGGCAGGCAGATCTCTGAGTTTGAGGCTAGCATTGTCTACAGAGTGCGTTCCAGGGTTACACAGAGAAACCCTGTCTCCAAACACCAAAAACCGCCATGTCCCATGGATCTGGAGACATGCTTGTGACTAGCTTAAACTTCAAACAGTAAAACCACTTTAAACCAAATGGAAGTCACATTGTAAGCTTCCATGTCCTGAAAACACTGTAATTAGGAGATGATGTTCCTACCCCTGTGCAGAATGTCTTTGTCATTCAAACCACTCAGAAGCTTGTAAAACCAAATGGTACAAATTCAGAGTTTTTTTGTTTGGTTGGTTTTGGTTTTTTTTTTTTTGTCAATTAAAGTAGATTAAAGGCTGTCAAGTCAGTAAAACTGAGAGACAAAAGGTAACGATAAGATTACTAAAGAGGTATAAAATAACCTCTATTAGACTGAGGTCTGGAAGGGGCTGGAGATGGAACTTTTAGCTGTGGACTACTTTCCTTTTACACAGTGGTCCTGGGTTTGATCCCAAACACTTTAAAGAAAACAAAAAAGCTGGGCATGACACACCTCAGAAACCCCAGCACTTGGGAGACAGAAGCAGGAGGCTCAGGATTTTAGGGTCGTCCTCAGCTATACAGAGAGTTTTCAAGGCTCCTCTGCACTACACAAGACCCCATCTCATTAAAACAAAAACAAACTAAAAGATTCATTTTAGTAAAATTCGAATTTCTATCTCCTGGCAGGCATATAACAAATAAGTAATAAACATCCTAGTGTATAACTTGCTTTAAAAAGGAACTCAGTTGTACCATTCATCTCTGCTATATTCTAGGCAGTAAGGCAGTAGTTAGTCTCTCATCAGATTCAATGAAAACAAGCACTGCAAAAACTGAAAAGTCCCACAGAGTACCGCTAGAATAAACCTTAAGCTATACACTGAATCCATATATACCTACTTTCAATAGGTGGCTTTGGTCCACTGACTAAAGACTCTGTGATCCGAGATGCAACAGAGCTGTCAAATCCAGAGTTAGAGGAATCCGGGTCTGGGTCACTAAGGATACTTGGGAAGCTAGCTTTACTCTGGGTTGGCAGTTCAGACTGACGTTCTGGAAGAGATTCAGACAAGAAGCATTTTAAGCCAGACCTGGGGGCAGGATATCTGCAACCCCAGCACTTGGAAGGTAGAGGCAGGAGGATCAAGAATTCAAGGCCTTAAAGCCTTAGCCATTTGAGACTGGGGGGACAAAGAACATTTTAAAATTGAGAACATCATGAACAGAGCAAGGGTGCAAAATAAGTATCTTTAACTCCTATAAACCAAACAATAACAGCATTAAAATATCCCAGCAAGGAAAAAAGGACTGATGATTTTAACAGTAGGTATTTCTAACAAATACCTACTGTTAAAACCAATATATAGCAGGCATTTGTTGGAAATTTTAAATAAAACTTCTGAAATGAACAAATTGTTAATGATAAATCTCTGCCCCTTAGAGTCACTAAAATTTAACTTGTTTGCTTATGTTTTTAAAATTCAGAAAACACAATATGAATTACCCACAAACACACCTTTAGTACACAGATCCTACTATAAGACAGCTGTTTCGTGCCTTACAGAGATGATCTGGATTTTGGATGTTTGTTTGTTTTGTTATATTTTGTTTGTTTTTTTCCAGACAGGATGGAAGGTGGTTTGTCCTGTTATGCCTCCTGAGTGGTGGGATTAAAGGCCTGTGCCACCATGTCTCGTTCAGAGATGAACTGTGTGGTAAGCTCTAGGGAGAGTATGAAGCAGACGAAGAAAGGGATTTGGGCAGCTTCCATCTGAGGGGAGGAGAGAAGGCCCTGTTAGTCACTCCCTCCTGTTGGAAAGACAAACAAAGAGGGTTCCCTCTCATTCGCAGATCTTAGCTTATATGTATATGCAATATGGTAATGTGTGTAAATTCCGGGAAACTAGAAAGTGGACCGTGAAGGAGTATAAGGAGGCTTTAAGGGAGGGAGGAAGAGAGGTAATACAGCACACGTGATGCAAACAAACGTGAAAGGCAATGCTAGAGTGAACCGGTTTGAGAAAGGTGGACAGCAGGGAAGGAGGGGACGCTGAGGTGAAAGGGTTTAATCGGGATGGCAGCTAGGCATGCACACCTTTAAGCCCAATACCTGAGTCAGAGGCAGGAACAGCTCTTAGAGGCTAGCCTGGTCTATAGCGCAAGTGCCAGGACAGCCAGGAACAGCCACAAAGAAACCTTGTCTCAAAAACAAAACAAGGGGGACGGTGGTGGCGCACGCCCTTAATCCCAGCACTCGGGAGGCAGAGGCAGGCGGATCTCTGTGAGTTCGAGGCCAGCCTGGGCTACAGAGTGAGTTCCAGGAAAGGCGCAAAGCTACACAGAGAAACCCTGTCTCAAAAAACAAACAAAAAAAAAAAACCAAAAAAAAACCAAACAAAAGAGGAGGGTGGCAGACAGGGAGATGGGGAGAAAGAGAGGCAAAAGGGTAAATTAAAAAAATAATAAATCTTGATTTTAGGCAGAGGCTCTCAGGAGCAGACAAAATGCCCCGACAGCCCTTCCTTACCCGCCAAGGCCAACTGAAGGCCGCTGATGTCCACAGACTGTCCCATGTTTCCAACATCCATCAACGCGATCTGGCGAGGTGTCTTTTTGAAGAGCTCCCTTGGGGGTGCCAGCATCAGCTGGGAAAGAAAAAACTTTTCTGGTGGAGTTATAGGAGGCAAAAACCCTGCAAATAAAAATGTATACCGATGTCTCTCCAATGGTTACTTTTTCAAATTAACTTGAATCTGGTAAAACAGCATTTGGCTACTTGCAACACCAAACTATGTTTATAAGCTAAATGTAACTGAGTTCCAATTAGTCACATATAAAATCTATAGACAACTGTATCACTTGAGATTCTGTGATCTACAGAGTGTCAATAAAACTTATGGCCTTAATAACTATTGAGAATTCTCTGTTATCAAATACTTCAATCCCTGCAAAAGCTAAAGCTTACATATGGTAGCAATCAGAATTGTTTTTCTAGGGCTTGGAGTACAGCCCAGTATAAGCACACTTAAAAAAAAAATCTGGGGGGAAGGGGGGTGGAGAGATGGCTCAGCAGTTGAGAGCACTGTCTGCTCTTCCAGTTGACGGGGGTTCAGTTCCCAGCACCCACATGGCAGCTCACCCTGTCTGTAACTCAAGTTCCAAGACTTCTGACACCCTCACACAGATGTGCATGTAGGCAGCAAAACACCAATGCACATAAAATAAAAATAAATTCAAAAAAATCTAAAATGCAGCCGTGTGACGTGGTGGGTGGTGGGTATAGCTGTCCTAGAGCCCTGGACTAGGCTCATGGGGTCAAGGGGGTGACGCTGTCTATCAGTGGCACTGAAGTTAAGGGAGCATCCTCGAATCTGATCTACATCTGATATCGGCAATGCTGAAAAAGTAAACACTCTAAATCTGTCCCAGAGACACGCATCTCCTAACAGTGAATTAGAAAAGACTACATTCTCTGCCCACGTGACATTCCTGCAGCCCAAGAAGGCGGCTGCAAAGACGTTAGATGCTACGCAATGTGGATTTCAACCTGCCACTTGAATATTGACTTCTTTACTCTGAGACTTAAAAGGGGGGATAGACTCAGTGTCACTGGCTATAACTTCACATACCCCAGGGCCTTAAAATAATAAATGACCTGTATTTAACATGCTAAACTATGTGCAGTCCTTCGGTGGGCTGTACAATGTGTTGGTTTTTTTCGGTTGCGGGGGATCATTTGGAGTGCAGTGAATTAAACAAACAAAAAAAAAAAAGCAAAGACAAAAACAACTTGGAACTTTTGTCTACCTCTCCCCTATTTTAGTAAAAGTGTGGAAAAGGAGGCGCGCGCGCGGGGGGGTGGGGTGGGTGGAGGAGGAGTCCTCTCCAAGGAGGCTGAATTTTTCTAGCCGGTGAGCTCCCAGTAGAACAGCTGGCTGCACCCGCACAGCTGGCCGTGGGAGGTACCTGAGAGCGGGGGCCGGTCGGGCTCCTGTCCGCCGCGGGCGGGCGGCGCGGGGTTGAGCAGGTGCGCGAAGCTGGCCGCAAACGGGTTGGCGGCGAGCGGCTCGGTGCGGTACATCTCCCACAGCAGGTAGAGCGCCGTGAGACGCTGCGCCGCGCTGGGCAGCAGGTCCGGCTGCTGCAGCAGCATCACCAGCACCGAGCCCAGGCGGAAGTGGTCGGCCTTGTTGAAGTAGTGGTGGAAGGCGGTGGACAAGCCCTCGAAAGTGCTGCCGCCGCCCGCCTCCTCGGAGATGATGCTAAGCAGGCTTGAGAGTTCCTTCGGGGTCAGGCTCATCCTGCCCGCGGGGCCCCCGGGGCCTCCACTCCCCGGCCCGGGACCACCTGCTCCGCCTCGGAACGCTGCCGCCGCCGCCGCCGCCGCCGCCGCCGCCGCCTCCCGCGCTCCTCTTTGATCCGCTGCGGAGAGAAGCCGGCCAGACGCCGTGCTCGCCCCGCCGCCGGGCATCCACTTGGCCCGCCTGCCCTGCTTCCCGGCCGAAAGGCCCTGGCACCGGCTTGCTGCTTTCCCCCCGCGGCGGCCGTAAAGCGCACCGTTACACGACAGCGTCGCAAACAAAACAGCGCGGAAGTCCGACGATCGGAACTGGGAAACAGCGCAGATCGATAGCGCGAGAGACCAAGCCCGGGTTCCGGAGACGCGAGGTGGGCGGGGCGCCGTGCCCGGAAGTGGGAGGGGCGTTCTGGAGGGCGGGGCCCTGTGGACAGAACGGGGTCCGTCTAGTCTTTCCTTTGCCGGTGTAACACAGGGTGGGGCGAAGGTGTGGCTAAAGCCAGCGAAAGCTGTCTCTGGGTGGTGGGTGGCGCCAAACCGGCCCAGTAAACTATTGCCTTAGTTATGATTTGAAAAATGGGTCTTAGGTGCTAACTGGCTTAACAGAACATTCTTGGTGATTCATGGTGAAATTGTATGCAAAATAAAAACAGGTTTCTCACAACCAGTTTAAATTTCAAGACTTACTCGTATTCTCGGAGATGGGATTACGTTGCATGTAAGTGTTTGTGCACGGCTAGGTAAACAAAAACCTGGGCGGGAACCTGGCACTAGGGAGGCAGAGGCACACGGATCTTTGTGAGTTCGAGGCTAGCCTGGTCTATAGAGTGAGTTTCAGGATAGCCAGGATTACATAGAGACCATTCTCAAAGAAATAAAAAAAAAAAAAAAGGAAACAAAAATCTGAGAACGTGTCTCAAGAAATACTCATTTATGCCGGGCGGTGGTGGCGCACGCCTTTAATCCCAGCACTCGGGAGGCAGAGCCAGGCGGATCTCTGTGAGTTCGAGGCCAGCCTGGGCTACCAAGTGAGTTCCAGGAAAGGCGCAAAGCTACACAGAGAAACCCTGTCTCAAAAAAACCAAAAAAAAAAAAAAAAAAGAAATACTCATTTACAAAATCATTTGCTGTATTTCTTTTTTTCTTAGCCTGCCCTAGGGTGCCTGTGCCCCTTGGCTGAACACTGGAAAACCCTGGAAATTTCCTTACATACCAGCCTCTTAGTCTGGTCCCCTGTGATCTGATTCAGATGTTCAAAAACACCGCTGCCAACTCCCCATCCCCTCACACACACACACACACACACACACACACACACACACACACACACGTGGGCACTGGTGGTGACTGGTACCCACACTAGAACTACAGTACCGACAGAAATGTTATCAGCATCACCTGCTACCCTGTGCTAACTAATGGCAGCAGTTTAAGAGTTTTCTATTTGCTTACCGCCAAAATTCTAAAGAAAATTTTGAGGAAGAGGTGTTGGGTAGGATGCATATTTTAAAGCCTTCTTTAGTTTACTATTAAACCTGTAGAGAAGTCCTGCTAGTGAACGTTACAGTCGGCAGAAAATATAACTTGGCAAATGGGGGAACTGATTCAAATTAGCTCTATTTTTATTATTATTGTAAATCAACTACATTCTCTTTGAGTCCTTTTACATTGTAGACTCTATTTGTGATAACTAGTCTACAATACTAAAACTGACTCATGCTAGTTATTCATTGTTACAACTTATTAATCATTTAAATGTTAGTACCGTGTGGGTGTTTCAAGATTGTTAAAGTATTTGAACATAGCATGTTGCCCCCAAATAGAGCTGCTTTTCCATCAGGATTAATGTGGTACCAAGTGTTTCCCTCGTGTTTTCCATTCTGTGTTCGATTCTAGGATTTCTGTGGCATAACCACAAACTGGGTACATTTTCACAGTAGAAACCAACTTTCTCTTCCTTCCTGAGGCTGAAAGTCTGGAATCTGGATGTCAGCTTGGTCATTCCCCTCTGAGGCATCAAGGGAAGAATCCTTCCTTGTCTTGTACTAGCTTCTGGCACTTACCCAAAGTTCTTGGTGTCCCTTTCCTTTCTGCCTCGCCATGCCAATCTCTGCTTCTTTTGTCATCTGGCCTTAATTGTGTCTCCTCTAAGTTATTTTCTGTGGCCCCCTGGTACCAAAGGCTGTGCTCTGAGCCCCAGATGTTGCTGTCAGAAGAGCTGTGATTACCCTCTTGAAACCCTCACAGGGTTGGACCCACTAACATTCCCTTGTGGAAGGGAGAATGGGCACATGGGGCTTGTGAAGTAGTGTGTTAGATGCACAAGGCACGGCCCCTCCCCCAAGGTGTATGCTAGTGAACGGTTGTTGGGTTAGAATACTTAGGCAGTGTAGTTGCCTATAAGTTGTCTTATTCTTCTTGTGGAATATTTAACTATGTAAAGATGTGTCACATTTGCTGATGCTGTGGAATATGACTTTAACTGTGTAAAGGTGTCCTACATTTGTTTATGCCACGTTTGTTTAATGATGTAAGGATGTGTTACATTTGTTGATGTCGTGGAATATTACTTCAACCGTGTAAAGGTGTGTTCCATTTGTTTATGCTACATTTGTTTAATGATGTAAGGATGTGTTACATTTGTTGATGTCGTGGAATATTACTTCAACCGTGTAAAGGTGTGTTCCATTTGTTTATGCTACATTTGTTTAATGATGTAAGGATGTATTACATTTGTTTGTACTGCATTTGTTTAATTATGCAAAGATGGGTTGCATTTGTTTCACCTTGCCTGACTAAGGCACCTGATTGGTCTGATAAAGAGCCAAACGGCCAGTCACCAGGCAGAGGAGGCTTAGGGGAGGCAGAGATAAATAGGAGGCCATAGCTAGACTCAAGGAGGAGGGGAACGAGGGAGAAAGAGAGGGAGGTGCCCAGGGCATCCAGGCAGCTGCCAGCCAGCAGACACAGAGTAGGACCTACACAAAGAAAGGTAAGAAGCCCGGAGGCAAAACATAGATGAAGAGAAACAGGTTAATTTAAGTTAAAGAACAAAAGACCTAGCCAGAAACGAGCATAAGCTAAGGCCAAGCATTCAAAACTAATAATAAGTCTCCATGTCACGATTTGGAAGCTGGTTGGTGGGCCAAAAGAAAAAGTCTGGTATATATGCTCCTGGGGGTAACCCCTCCCCCATGCGCCTGTAAGTATCTTGTAAGTAAGCTCCCAGCTGAACGCACTGACTCACCCAGCTAAACTTGAGGTCTGGTTTTGGTGCCCTACTTGGGATGAATAGATAATTGTTCACCATAAACAGGGACATAAAAGCACCAAAGACACATTTGTGAGGAGCATTTGTGTTGTCTCTGCTGTGGGTGATGAGACCTACTGAGCTGAGCCATCTGAGGGCAGGACAAACACCAGGCAACCCCAATGTGGCTCTTTTCTTCTGTGGTGTGAACTGGCATGTTCTGTTGCTACAGTAACAATTGCATTATCCCTATTATTTCATTTTCGTGCCCTACATTTCACCCTACTGTGGGCGAAAAGATACAACGAAGGCTTGCTCCAATGTAGGATGGAGTGTCCATGAGGAGAATCCCATAATGGCTGCTCCTCTATGCGGTATGGAGCGGGATGCCTCATTAATGAATGGGGACACCCCATATTGTCCTGTGACGTATAGACTAAAGGATATATTGTGACCCCCCCCCCCCATGCAGCGTGGGTAAGATAGGATCATAAGCCAGATGTAACATCAGTTACATGGCCCTTGTTCTGGACATAAGACATGCAACTTGAGGCTACGCCATCTGCCCCCTCCCCCCAAAAAATTGCCCATGTAAGGGAGAAATTGCAATGAGAAAAATGAGTATGATGCTGTCCTTCACACTAGCCTCTAAGCTGACGGAAAAGGGAAAGAACTAATGAAGGAGGAGAAGATGGAGTGCTGACTGCTTGTTTTTTCTTGCTGGGAATGGAGAACACAAGGAAAGAAAATACAAAATTGATGTGTGCCAAACAGGCCCTCCTGGGATCCAAAACTTTGGAATCCATGAAAAGAATCTGACAGTAGGAGAAATGGAGGTAGATATGATAGGAGATAGCCCTCGGGTCTAACCTTTATTACAGAGGAGGAAATCCGTGGCACAGCTTGTGGATGGAGCCTTGGTGTCAGCCCAGTACAGGGAGCTATGGTGATCAGGGAGTAATCTGCCTTTGAACTGCTTGAGTGAAGATAAGCAACAACATCTTTAAACAAGGCATGAGGGTGAAGGAAAAAAGAAAAGAAGGACATGACTGCCCCTCCATATGGTGGAGGAGAAAGTTTATTGTAGATATGCCAGAGAACATAGCCAGAGGCAGACATCTGGGAGAGTCCAAAATGGATATGACCAGCAGACTGAGCTGTGCCATTTGAGGAGAGATGGGAAGGTAAGAAGGGAGATGTTGGGGTGCACCCTATACCGCAGGTCAGTTGAAGAAAGAAGGTGCTCCAAGATGAAATTTTAAGACCTATCTGGCAGCAGGAAGGTCCCAGCCTCTCTGATGGATTGAACCCCAAACAGCCGTACAAAAGTGTATCTATTGGAAGTTACACAAAGTGTTTCCTCATACTAAGGTTCCTAATCTAATTTACATGTCTTACTAAAGGAGAGCATCATACGTCCCCATGACTCTAGTCCTTCATTATGTATTGTGTGCAATACATAATAGTACAAGAGCCTCAGGTGTGCCTGAGACATCTAATAGTACAAGAGCCTCAGGTGTGCCTGAGACATCTTGTGACCAAAGTCAGGGGGTGGCTACAATGCTCCTTCAAGCAAAACAATTCTACAAATCACTGGAAACAATCACTGTTTTCCACAAGGATTATTCAAGGTCAAAGTACTTCTAAAAATGGTTCATTCTAATATCTCGGTGACTCTGCTGAATTCCTACAACAGGGAGATCTGGGAGCCAAGAGGCCAGGAGGCAAACAGGAAACAAAAAATGCAGAGGGGCCAGCAGAGCCAAAATGGCTGGATCACATCGGGAAGAGCTACGGGAGAAGGGCAGTCAGCTCCGGGGCTGGAGAGTGCAGGGTAGGGGCCAGGGGAGGCCAGCCATACCCTGTGACAGGTAGGGACTGAGGGATGCTGGGAGAATCTGGCAGCCATGTCTGCTTTGATATGTTTGATAGGCACTGCCGTTAACCATTTGTCCCAGGTTTGAGATCTACCAGAGGGTCAGCAAGGTGGCTCAGCAGGTAAAGGTACTTGTCATCAACCCTGACAACCTGTGTTGGGTCTCTAGAACCCTCCTGGTGGAAAGAGAGAACCGACTCCCACACATGTACCATAGCAAGTGCTAAAAATAAAAAAATGAAAGA